GGCGGGGAACCAGGCAGCAGGGCAGCCTCCGCAGGTGAGACACACTGGCGGGTGACTACCTTGCCGATGGGACGGAGGCGGTGTGCGAGGGATGAGTTGCAAAGCAAGTTGGTGGCAGCGGTGGGATTAAAAGCCAGGCGTTCTGACTCCCAGCTGCCCCGTCTAAAGACCCGGCGGCTCTTCCAGAGCTTGGAGGAGGACCTAGGAGTCCGCTACAAATGCCTTCACTCGACAGGAATCTGTCGTGAACCATGACTACCTTGCCGATGGGACGGAGGCGGTGTGCGAGGGATGAGTTGCAAAGCAAGTTGGTGGCAGCGGTGGGATTAAAAGCCAGGCGTTCTGACTCCCAGCTGCCCCGTCTAAAGACCCGGCGGCTCTTCCAGAGCTTGGAGGAGGACCTAGGAGTCCGCTACAAATGCCTTCACTCGACAGGAATCTGTCGTGAACCATTCCCTGCGGGAGTCGAGGGCGCAGAATTTGCACTATAATTGGCGAGTACCGTACCTAGGTGCTACCTGGAGAAGGTCAAACTTTGTCCCCCAGAAACCTGTACATTTGTGGGTTTTAAATCAGCTGATCATGTCCCCTTTTCACAGTAAGGAACACTTTTCAACAAAAATGGATTTGTTTGGGGCAATTTTATTCCGGGGTGGGATTTATTCCAAAGCGCTTTGTTACCAACGAGGAAACGGGTGAGCTTCCGTGCATTAAAAACGTCTGCGGCATCTCCAAGTTGGGGGAAGAGTCCTTTAAAAAACTCATGGGACAGAGGGTAGCCAGGTTATTAGGTCCGTGCAACGGCTTTGCGCTTAAGTAGGACGGGGGGGTGGAAACCCACCGAGTCCGTCTTGCGTGACGCTGGTGCACGAATCCCGTGTGAACGCAGCCCCCTTTTCACGTAGGCCTGGTCTGATCCTAACTGATCTACTTGTTAGGTTACAGGGTTCCTTTAAAAAAAAAAAAAAGTCCTGTGCGGAATGACTTTTATGACGTGCACCGCGAGGTGAACCGCGGCCAGAGTGGTGCACGTCCCAAAATTTATTCTGCACATGAATGATCTGTGGCAGGGGTGGGGCGAGGGGTTTGGAGTGTGGTAGGAGGCTTGGGGGTCTGGCTTGGGGGTGCTGGCTCTGGGGTGGGGCTGGGGGAGTGTAGGAGGGGGGCACAGGGCAGGCGGGTGTGATGGCGGGGGGGGGGGGGGG